CCCAGAGGCAGTAGGAAGGATCCCAGCGGCAGTAGGAAGGATCCCAGCGGCAGTAGGAAGGATCCCAGCGGCAGTAGGAAGGATCCCAGCGGCAGTAGGAAGGATCCCAGCGGCGGTGCGCAGAGCCGGGGGGACCCCGGGTGGGTCACAGCGCTCCTGCGTGACCTGCAGGGGACTGGGGAGGGGGTGTGGGACCCCAGCCCTGGCTGTGCCGGGGACACGGCGACGGGGAGCAGGACCTCCAACCCCGCCCGGAGAGGGGGCACAGAGAGGGGGAGCGGGACCCCTTGTACTGGCCGGAAGAGGGGCTCGGGACCCTTGTCCCGGCTGGAGGGGGGTACGGGGAAGGGAGATGGGACCCCCGGCCAGCGGGGGATGTAGGGAGGGGCAGCGGGCCCTGTGGCTCCATCGGGGGGATCAGGGAGGGGAACGGGACCCCCGGCCCGGCCGGAGGTGGGTCGGAGGCTGCGCCCAGACCGCCCCAGGACCCCGCCCCCTCTCTCTGATTGGCTGCGCCGCGGAGAAGCGGCACCGCCATTGGCCAGCGACGCTTCAGTCAGTGCCACGTCCCGGCGGCGGCGGGCGGGGGCCGGGGGGGGTGTCCCGGGCCGGGCCGAGTGAGGGGGGTCCGCCCGCGCCTCGCGCCCACCTGGAAGGGGTTGATGTCCACCGGGTCGGCGAACGGGTTGGTGTCGAAGCCCGACATAGGCGCGGTCCGCTCCGCTCCGCTCCCGCCGCCGCCGCCGCTCCTGGCGCTTCCGGGGCACCCGCGTGACCGGGGAGCCGCGTGACGTCACAGCGGCGCATGTACCTCGCGCAGTGTTAACCCTATGGGCGGGGCCGCGTGACGTCAGAGCGGCGCTTATAGTCGCTGGGGGGGGGAGGGGGGCATGAGGGGAACAGAGCTGTCCGGCCGAGCCATGGCGGAGATCCGGGGTGAGCGGGGCACGGGGCACCCCCCGTCCGGGGTGGGGATGCGGACAGGGACCACCCCCAGGAATACCCCCAGGACGATGGGGCGGAGGAACCGTGACCCCTGCCCGCAGCCCGAGCATGCCGAAATCGCCGTATGATGGTTGAAAATCGCCCCCCCCTCATACACTCTACTGTCCCAAGCCCTTGGTCCCCTGTCTCCCTGATGCCCTCTCACCCTGCACTGGGGGCTTTGGCGGTGTCTGGAAGGGGTTTCGGTTTTTTTTTCTGTTCCCCGCTAACATTTTACTACTCTCCCGTAGTGTTCCCCCTCTCCTGCGCGGTGCAGAACTATTCCTGGGGGAAAGTGGGCCTGGAGAGCGAGGTAGCCAAGCTGCTGAGCAGTGGTGACCCCCTAGTCCAGATCCAGCCTGACCGGCCCTACGCGGAGGTGAGTGCGTCTGTGTGTCCGTGCCGTTCGTGTGTCTGTCACACCCCTATGTCCCGCCCACCGGCTGTGGCTCTCACCATCCTGTATCCCATCGGAATGGGATCCTGACCCGCCCCCCCCCGTTGTCCCTCTCGGGGCTGCCCGGGTTGAAGAGGAGAAGCCTGGCGCCATTCAGCCTCCGAGGGAGCTGCCTTGGCTGCATGGATCACCTGTGGGGCCAAGCAGCCTCTAAAAAAGCCCAAGTCATCCGTGCTGGCTGCCCAGCTCAGGGTTCCATCAGTCTGTCTGTGTCTCACAGCTCTGGATGGGCGCACATCCCCGGGGCGATGCCATCATCCGGGATAACCGCATCCCCCAAAAAACCCTAGGCCAGTGGATTGCCGACAACCCCGCCTGCCTGGGGACAAAGGTGAAGGACACCTTCCAGGGACAGCTGCCCTTCCTCTTCAAGGTGCTCTCGGTCGATACTGCCCTCTCTGTCCAGGCACACCCCAACAAGGTAAGGAGAGCCCTGGATGGGCAGCCCAGCGGGACCCTGTGTCCCTGGGGATGTCACCCAGCTTCTCTCCCCCTCTCCAGGAGCTGGCAGCGAAGCTGCACGCCCAGTTTCCTGAGCACTATCCCGATGCCAACCACAAGCCTGAAATGGCCATCGCCCTCACCCCCTTCGAGGGCTTGTGTGGCTTCCGGCCCGTGGAGGAGATTGTCTCCTTCCTCCAGAGTAAGGATGAAGGGTGCATAGTCAGACCCCAGGGTGGGGATGGGAGCTGTGCTCCCTTGCAGTGGGGTTTGGGGTGGGGATGAGGGATAGGATCCCTTGGGATGGGGTTTGGAATGAGGATTGGGTTCAAGGTGGGAATGGTGGCCATGCTCCCTTGGGATGGGCCTCCGGGTGAGGATGGGGGCCGTACTCCCTTGGGATGCAGTTTGGCGTGGGGACGAGGGTTGTGCTCCCTTAAGATGGAGTTCAGGGTGAGGGCACTGCTCCCCTGGGATGGGGTTTGGGGCAGGGATGGGGGCCATGCTCCTCTGGGATGGGGGTGCTGATTCTGACTGGGGCTGGCCCCTCGTAGACGTCCCCGAGCTGCGGGCGCTGATTGGGGAGGTGGCAGTGGAGCAGCTGGAGCGCAGCGGGAGTGACGACCCCCGAGGTGTCTCGGCCGCTCTCCGTGTGTGCTTCACCCGCCTCATGAAGAGCGAGAAGAAGTTCTTTGTTGACCAGCTGAACATGCTGGTGAAGAGGATCTCCCAGGAAGGTGGGTCCTTGAAGTGGCCCCCAAAACAATTTGGTGGGCTGTGGGGAGGGGAGGGGCCAGGGCACCCCCTGGCTCCTTCCTATGTTGTGCCTGGTCTCTTCTCACGCAGCAGAGGAAGGGAAGGACACGTCAGGGAGCAACGGGGAACTGCTGCTGCGGCTTCACTCCCAGTACCCAGGAGACATTGGCTGCTTCACCATTTATTTCCTGAACCTGGTAAAGCTGGAGCCAGGGGAGGCCATGTTCCTTGGAGCCAATGAGCCCCATGCCTACCTGCGTGGAGGTGAGTGTCATGGGGGGCTCTCCTAACCCACCATCCTGCAAGGACTGGCCACGGGGGACATCTGGAAGGGCTGGGGTGGGCTGACAGCACTGCCTCATCCCTGCAGACTGCGTGGAGTGCATGGCATGCTCAGATAACACGGTGCGTGCCGGGCTCACCCCCAAATTCATCGATGTGCTCACCTTGTGTGAGATGCTCAACTACACACCGGCGCCCAGCAGCTCCAAGATCTTCCCAGCTGTGCAGAGCCAGCTTGATCCCAATGTCTATGTCTATGATCCGCCTGTGCCAGACTTTGCCATCATGAGGATAGAGGTGAGCGGTGACGGGTTGGGGCACACATCTCAGCTGGGCTCTGGGTAGGACACCCCAGTGCTGGCTTAGGCTTCACTCACCTTTGTAGTTAGTGCCCTAGGGAGGGGGGAGGGATGCTTGGGGATGTAATGTTTGTCTCTTTATCCCTCCCCTGTTCCCTCTGCCTGAAGCTCATTCACCTTCTCCAGCAGCTCCGGGCAGAGGGAGAACCAGGAACAGGTCTTGGGTGTCCTCAGCCAAGCTGAGGCTCCTGGGCTTGGGCTGCTGCAGGTGCAGCAAAGGGGTGGGAATGGAGATAACCCCATCCCAGCTCTCTGTAGAGGAGGAAAGCTGGGGGAGACTCCAGCCACAGTGACATTTTCCTTTGCAGATCCCTGCCTCCATCAAGCTGTACCTCATCTCTGCCATAGACTCTGCCAGCATCTTGCTGGTGATCCAGGGGACAGCTGTGGGCACCTCCACAGCCGCAGCCTCCGAGATGTCTCTGTGTCGTGGCTCCGTGCTCTTCATCTCGGCTAACGAGAGCATCTCCCTCCACCTCTCCTCGCAGGATGGGATGCTGCTCTTCCGAGCCTGCTGCCTCCTCTGAGACACTTCTGTCTCCTCCTGGAACACTTCTTCCCCATCACTCCACGTTTGAGTAGATAGAAACTGGTGTCGGCAAAGTCATCTCACTTGGAAGTTTTCCCTCCATCTATTAAATCCCAAACCCAGCCCTGATGTATAGAAAGAGCAATTCTATAGATCGACTCCTCGGATGTGGCACAGAGCACAGCAGGCTGAGGCTTTCTGCAGCTTCTGGCAGGCTCTTCTAAGCCTGGCTGATGGCAGCCAGTGTTGCCCCTTCCCTGGCTGTAAAAGGGGGTTGTTTGGCAGGTTTATGGAGCGGGAAAGCTTCCGATGCCGTGAATAAAGAGGTGACTTTGTCCTCAGTGCAGGGCAGTGTGGTGCAAGGAGCAGGAGGAGGACTGGGGTGGGGGACTGGAGGAAATGCTGGGAGCAGCTCCAGCTGTAACTCTCCCACCACTGGTTCTTACCCCCCTCACTCCTCAGGGGAAAAGGAAATGAGTAAAATGTGATGAGGGAAAACAGATCACTCTGAAATCCCACCAGTCAGGGAAGAAGCCCTCTGGAGTGAGGCTCCTGAGAGGAGCAGGGCACCAACACCCTCCAAGTAATGAGATTCAGTTTATTGAGTGCTCCCTTTAACAAGTAAAGTACAAAAGCAAAACCCCAAAAGCAAACAAAACAAACAAACAAACAAGAAACCCCAACAGTTCAGGTCTCTAGACATGAAATATAAATAAGGTATTGAAGCAGCTGATTGTCCTCTAGGTTGTAGAGCAGGACCATGGTTTAAGGCAGCTTTTAAGGTTTGCAGCAGAGTCCCCAGCCCCCCACATCCAAACCCTGTGTGGAGCTGGTATGGGGGGTCTGGGCAGTCCCACACCTGCATCAAAGCAGCACTGGGGAGAACAGGAACAAGCCATTAGCTCCAAACCCAGCACCTCCTAACTCCTTCCCTTTACACCTTCATGGAGGTGCCAGGCTCTGCCTCTTCTTTCCCACCCCAGCAGGTGAGAGGTCCCATCCAGACCACCAAAATGTCACCATGCCACCTCTCCCTGATATTGCTGAGTGTAAAGAAAAGTCCTGTGGGGTCAGTTGCCCTCTGCCATAAGCAGAATCGTTCAGTCATTGTGTCACTATCCCAGCATGGGACACCGACAGCAACAGCCATCCCATGGGACGAAGAAAGTGCTGGATTTTGACCTGTTCTTGTGCAGCTATTGGATCACACAGGAGAGATTTTCTCCGAAACAACAGGGGCAAGAAGAGGAGGCAACTGGTTTTGGGGGGATGAGATCCAGGTCTTCATCATCAGGGACCTCGTCGAGGTGGTACCCATCCTGCAGCAGCTGCCGGCTCAGGTCCTGGTTCACCTGCTGTGGGAGGACAAAGTGGAGCTCTGTAGGATGGGACACGTGCATCCACAACCCCGTGGGGTTATGCTTCCAGCCCCTCTCCAGAATCTCAGGTTGTGAGGGGGACAGGGGAGCACGCGGGGGCCACACGGTCAGAGTCAAACACCTGCACTTGCCTCGGCAGAGGAGTATCCTGAGGAACATCTGGATCCTGGCTCCCCGTCACTAAGAGAAAAAGGAAACAGCTGGCCAGGAAATAACCTCGGAAATAAGCCCTGCATAACTGCAAGGGATTTGTTAAATTTGGGACAACAGGAGCGTTTCACAGAATATTCTGTGTTGGAAGGGACCCACAAGGATCATCGATAACTCTTAGGTGAATGGCCCATGCAGGGATCAAACCCACAACCTTGGTGTTTATTAGCACCGTGCTCTAAAACAACTGAGCTCATCTCCATTGCACTGCTCAGAGGTGCTCAGTGCTCTAAAAGTGACAAGGAAAATCAATCCCCAAAGTAAAGCCAGCTCTGAGCACCCTCCACCAAAAATCCTGGGATAATCACCCAAAAATCTTGGAATATTCACCTGTCTGAGTCGAGGGAGACCAGGTTCTCATCAGCTGTCTGGTTGAGTGCAGTGTAGCCCTTGTTAAACTTCACCGACCTGCCAGAAAGCAGCCGAGTGAGACCAGGACAGATGTTTTACATGGATGCACATCCATGGAGCTGATGGACTGAGGAGCCAGGGCAGGAATCCTGCTCCTTCCCAGCCAGGTGCTATCCAGGGCCACCACCAGCTAAGCCCTAGGATACCCAAATAAATCTACAGCACCAAATCATCCCTCAAATAAAAGAGAAAAGCCCTATATTTTATTATACCGGATGTTCCTGGCCAAACAGAGCCATCAGAATAAGGTCCCAAACTCCTATTTATAATCCTCTGAATTTCTCAGCCTCCCCAAGGAAAGCAAAAAATACCTTTTGGGAACAGAAAAAGGGGATCAGACCTTTTAGGTGCCGATTTCGGGGTGGTGGGTCCCCCCAGCAGCCCCTGCCTTCGCAGAGCTGCCTTCACCAGCTCACGCTGCCTCTCTGAAAGCCAAGCACAGGGACAGAGATAAAAATTCCCATGTGTTCCCCCAAGATCTGTTTTCTGGGTGGTGGGGGTGTTGCAGGTGAGCATGGGGGCAATGTAGTGCTTTCCACAGGCATCATTATGGGATTTTTAATGTTTTGGGGGGTTTTTCTATAAAGGTTTTATCCCACCAAGGAATAAAAAAGCTGTGGGTAACTCCCGCCCTGGCAGTGAGGTGGAAATAACTCCCAAAATCCCAGCAGAGTCCACCAAGCATCATTTACTCAGCTTGGCCTGAATGGAGGGAGGTTTGCTCATGATGTATGGTCCCCTTTTCTCCACCGTATCCGTCCCCTTGTTCAGCCTCTTGTTTTCAGCCCAAATCAGCTAAAAAAAAAAAAAAAAAAGAGGGAAAGAAGCACACTCAGCATCTCTCCATGGGGATAAAGTAACAGAGAGTCATCTCAGAGCACCCATCCATTCCTGGGAGCTCAAGGTCAGCTCCCAGACCAGGAGCAGGGAGAGGAAAAGGAATAAGCAGATCTAGTCGCAGATGAAGGGATTACTTGGGAATGGCCATGCTAAATTAAAAGCACGAGTGGTGACCAGCAGCTCCTGTGCAAGCCCAGCTCCAGAAATACTTGGGAAAACACGTGATGGAGGAGATTTAATGAGCAAGTTCATCAAGTAAAAATATAAGGATAGCTTATTTTAATTTCTCTGCAGGGTTGGAGCCTTCAAGCTTCCCCTTTTATCCAGGTATTGCCAAGGAGAGCCAGCACTCCTAATGGCAAGGGGGAAGAAAAGAGCTCCACAAATATAATAAGTAATGAAGAAAATAGATGGAAAATCAGGAAAGGGCAGAGGAGACTTGGTGCAGGAGGGATGGGAAATTAAAGGAACAAGGCAGAAGACTTGGGCTGGTGATTGGAGAGCACAG